GTAATGTATAACCAAAAAAGAAAAAAGAATCACTTCATATGAAAATCAAAATGTGTCACACGGGAAGTACAAAGCACAGAAAAAACACAAAAAAAACGTCTGTACTTGAAAGTTGCCAAACGAGAAGTGAAGGTTTGGTAGAGGAGTGTAGAGGGAGTCACATGCATCACGTGAGCATGCTATGCAACTACTGGTTAATAGATGACACATGATGATTTGCATGAGACACGTGTTGCAATTTATTAATTCCAACAAGGAGGGGGGAGCGCAAGGCTTGTGGCATGCTTAAAGAAAATGTTTGCATATAGAGGGCAATAGTGAATGAGAATAGCTAATCTTGCGAGAGGACGTAAGTACCACATCGGAATTTATGGTGAATGCTAGTTGTCTATTTGTATCTAAGATTATAATAGGCCATACTATACAAAAGAAATTATTGAATTTCCAGTTTTAGGTGGGAAAGTGAACTGAATACAATTTCTTTTCTGTTACAGCTCTTAATTATTTTTTTTTTACTATATTTTAACATGCTAAATGTTCATGGTTTGTTATGTAACCTGAAGAAAATTCATATATTGGTTTATATATATGCCTATGTATTCTTTTTGAAAGAGTGAAGCATCAAAATCCTACAAATTGTTTGGATGATATTCTACTCAGCAATTCTTCCATGCCTATAATGAGCAATTTATGCTATACCTGCCTTCTTTTCTTTAGACAGATATATGTAAATTAGTAACCAAAGAGCACATCCAGTTCATCAGAATGTTACAGCAAAAATGAAATGTTGCTACGATTCATTGAAGATGTATCTATAATCTCATATAATACGTTGTCAAAAATTTAATGTCTCATTTTTAGATGAAAAAACCCGAACAATTTATATATCAAAACAAAACATTTATTAAACGAAATAGTCTTCATTCTTATCGATGATGCTTTTTCATCTTACAGTCAGGTTGTTAATGCCCTGATTAAAGAAATCACTTGGCTTTGAAGCAAAAAACATGCCAATGTCCTCTTTAACACCTTCCACATTTGCAATCTTGTAGTGTAGTTGGGAAATAAACTACTCTTCCCCAGAAAACAGGGCCTCATCCAGTCACCCTTGACCTTTTCTCATGATGCAGTCCCATTACACTACACAGTAGAGGTCATATAACTGGATACTGAACAAGACAGTAAACACCTTTTCATAGTTTAGTTTAACTCGAATACACCAACAGTCAACAATTTGAAGCAATGCCACTAACAAAAAAGAAAGTAAGAGTCTGACGAAGTAAAGCTAAATAGAGCAAGCATGGCATTTATATGAAAGAAAAATGGAAACCAGCCAAGAAATCTGAGAATAAATGAAGATTACATACAGCCATCATGGTAAATTAACATACATTTTAGTTTCATACAGAAATTGTTATTCCTGCAACAAAAAAAATAAATATTACTCAAAACTTTGTTTCAAATCAATTTTACTTTCTAAGTGACATGTATCTTTATTTCTAGTAATGAGCTAAATTCAGAATCCATGAGTTTAAGTAATGTCTTGGTGCTATATTTCATCGTGGAAGAAGAGAAGCTTAATCCAGCCAATTACACTGGACTTCATTCACTTTATGGATGGAGAATCATTGATATACAAAATTTCATTAAAAAGGAGTTCATGTTATGAAACAACTTCATCTTGTTTTGTAATTGATGCTTTTTGTTCAAAGCTATAAAATGGGCTATCTGAACTCTGTCAACTGCATGCAACCGAACCCTGGATTTTAGCATTTTAAGTCCATAAAATTGTTACCTCCAACCCCAAAGGTGAACAGAGGTTATGTTTTCACCCCTGTGTGTGTGTGTGTTTATCAACAAGATTTCTTGGAAACAGCTGAATGGATTTGCACAAAAGTTGGTATACATTTGGACTATGACCCAAGCTTAGGCATTATTAGTTTTTGGAGGGTCAAGGTCAGAGCAAGGAATTGAAATTCTAAAAAATTCCTATCTGTTAACATGGGGCTGATTTTTCACATTATTTTTGCTCTATAACTCAGTCAACAATGATTGGATTTTGATGAAATATGGTGGACTTATGTAGAATATTATTTCTTATTGTCCTGCCAAAAATGATCCATGACTGTTGATAATGGCAGACATACAGATACAATTTCTTATTTTTTGAGAACCGAATATGATCAATGCTGCGTGGTGGAAATGTGTGCTCTACTGAGTGCCCCTCTAGTTTTGTATAGAATATTATTTATACTAAGTTGGCATTGATGCAGATGTTTGTTTTTTAGATGTAAGGTAAGTATACGTAGCTGGATACACTTTTCCTCAAGGATCCAGAGGAGGTTTGAAATAGACATTCAAATTTATTTGTGACTTTTGTTTTGAAACTGTTAAAATAGTATCAGAGCCAGAAGAACATATGAACATGGAAGACATTCATACATTAGACGTAAGTGATTCAGCAGTTTGGGATGTTGTCAGTTGTGATGGAGAACATGCTCAATTGGATGGAAATTTCTCAATGTTAGGAGTTCTGGTCATGTCTCTGAACACATTCAACAGATGCAAGAAGTAAATCAGAAAGATATTTTAAATATAACTTATGTATGATATTAATATACAAATAATTATTAATGTGGTTAACAGTATACCAGAATTCTAGGGTTCCTTCCTTTCACTCTGAAAATTATGTATGATAAAAACAGTAACTTCATATTATATTTATGTATAATTTTATAAGACCTTTTTCATTGAATAATATTACATTTGAGCAGATTCAATATCTGCCAATATTAAGTAAGTGACATTAGACACCAATATTTTATTTTCGTAAAAGTATAACAAAAATCACATCTAACTTCATATTCTGTTTGCTTCAGTTGTGTAAAAAGCAAATGTTTCAAACAATAAACAATGAGGGAGTGAAATAAAACGAATTAGCAATAGAAGCAGGAGGTACAGATAGTAACAGCAAACCAATTATTACTGTTTACACTGATAGTGGTTGGTCTCAATGCAGTTACGGGCACAAATACACTGCAAAGTCTGGTTGTGCTGCTATAATTGGTTTCCATACAGAAAACTGTTATATCTGGGTGTGAAGAACAAGTTTGGTAGCACTTGTTTACAAAATAAATCAACAACCATAAATGGAATGAACCTTCCACACAAATGGAGTCTGACATTATAGTGGAACGAGTTAGGAACATTGAAGACATGCACGGTCTATTGTATCAAAAAATAATAGCAGATGCAGACTCGAGTATGTATAAAACAATAATAAAGAAGTTTAGTTATGGTAAGCAGGTAGAGAAAGTGGAGTGCACCAATCATGCAGTTAAATGTCACACCAAAACTAATGCTGAAAATGGACAATTTCTAAAACGAGCCCAGGATAGAAAGACTCAAGAACTGTGCCAGAGGAACTATAAGAAGAAATGCAAAGGAAGGGAATACACCTGAACAGTTGAGACAGCAGCTACAAAATGGCCTTTACCATGTATTTGGTAACCATACAAAATGTCAATCAACATTTTACAAAAATGTTTTCTTCAAGACATAGTACCATTTTACAGTTTCCATGGCTCACACTCACAAAGATCATGGATCCTGCTGATTAACTAGTCAGGACAGCAGATAAGCTAGTTTCTGACAGAACTACCAACTGCATCAAAATTTACATGCATTTAGTTGCTACTCAAGCAATCTCAATCTGGCTCTTATCATTATCACTGTCAAGGACCTGGATTATTGTATCAGAGTGGCACCAGAAAGTGTGAAAAAATACAACATAAAAACGTCTTTCTTCTATTGTGAAAAAATATGTCTAATGAAGATGAAAATTTTTCATTGCATGCAGAAAACAACTACCCATATGTAAAGAAAGAAGGCACCTGAGAAAAACTGATGAAAAGTCCAAGTCTGGAGGAGATAAACATTATGGTTACCACTCCTTACAACTAGATTTGAATGATGAAGAGTTCAAAAGGGCTAGTCAGGAATTTTTGATAAAACTACAAGTAACTGAAGAAAGATGAAATGAGCTAGAACAGAATACATGTGGTCAGACTGGAAATGAGTTATGGATTTTGGAAAGAAACAAACCACTTATGGCATCAGAATTTGGGTCCATTTGTAAAATAAGGGAAACACTTACTTTACTCTCTTGCTTTAATGACAGAGGCCCCTCGGTATGGTAAGAATCATGAAGACCTTGCCATAAAAGACTATGAACAAGAAATGGGAGAACGAGTTCAATATTTGCTGATCTCAGCTTTGGGTTTCTTGGTGTATCTCCAGATGGACTAGTAGGAAATAATAGATTACTGGAAGTGAAATGTCCTAGAACAGCTGAACATTACACTCCACATGAAGCTGCTAAAAACTTGAAAAAGTTTTGTTCTGTATGTACAATTTCAGCTACAAATATACCAAGTTCAAGGTCAATTACATATAACAATGTGAATTCTGTGACTTTGTCATATGGGAAGAAAACTGCGAGATGATACTTTCTGCACACAAAAGATGTTTCCTTCCTTCCTTAGATCATTTTTTTCCAGAATTGCCTACATCTGGTTGACCACTGATCCAACAAGCAATTCAAAAGCAAAAAGCACCAGAAAATATAGGGAATAATAAAAATATGGTTGTCATAAAGGACACTTTTAGGAGTTATATAACTTGCATGAATAAAATAATTGTTTGTGAATATACCTATACTACTGTGTATACTTATCAAAATTCAAGTAAACTGATCAAAATATTTGTTCCCCTTTGAGGTATATGCCCTTCTTAGTTTTACCAATAGTAACTTAAGAGTACCTGGGGTTGGGACTTTTGTTTCTTTAGAAGGACAAAGTTGGTCTAACTCAATATTAGATGCAGATCCTACTAAAATGGCTAGTTGATGTATTTTGTGGTACAGTAGAAACAAAGACAATCTTTATGCTATATCTTTACTCTACTGACTAAAATGTACTTCAAAGAAGTTCAAAGCTCACCTTTCCTAGCTCCTTGTCATCAAGGCTAAGCAGTCCTGGACTTTCAGTGTAAAGCTTTACTTTCACAATAGGGAGTGGATGAGTAGTTGTAAAATCTCCTTGAGTATCCCACCTAGAAAGAAAATGATAATAAAAGATAAATATAGTTAAGGAGAAAACTACATACTCTAATAATGCTAAAATTCTTATAAACTTAAGTTTGTTTAGAAATTTCTGAGGCATCTGAAGATTTTACTTAAGTAAGAAGCAGCAAAACTTGTTATATCTTTTTTTTTTTTATATATACAATTGATAGTTACGAAATCTCAAAATATAAATTACTTGATAATGAACTTTATAAGCTATTTAAAAATTAAACACTTTTCAGTTAATCTAACAGAAAACCTACATTGGTTTTGAAGCTTCTGCATGATCAGTCTGTAGTTTTTCTCCACCTTCAACCTCCATTGTACAGTAGACAATTCTATTGGAAGCCAGAGACTTGAGTCCTTTCACTTCCATAACGACTACCTAAATAACATAGCAGAAGGCATTACTTTAATTTAATAAAACATTACCTCTAATAAGTTAATACACATTTCAAAGAATAAAACTGTTAAAGAAAACAAAGTATAAGAGACTGCTTTAAAGTAAAAAATATGAAAGACTGACAGATTAAATTATTTTAACATCAAAATTAAAATTTCATGCCTGAGCCCATCTTTCAAAAGCTAAATCTTTGGAGTATTAAAATAACTAAGAAAATCTGGAAAAAAAAGCAAAAGAATAATTAAAAAAGAGGGAATAGTTTGAACAACAATGTACAGGTAAAGAATATGAGATAATAACAGATATAAAGAGTAGGAATTGTTGGACAATTCTTTTAATGGTCAAAACCATTTTAAGATATCCCCCCCATTACTACCAGTTTTCCAACAACTATTTTCACAATGTAGATGCATTTTTTTATAGCTGTACTTACAAAAAAGTGCCAACATTAGTTACTTCTGCTGTATGCCTGGGATGTTTTTATTATTAAACAAAGGTTATCTGAGCACTTTCTCTGGATATCATTAACATTTTAACCCTAAAATCAAAAGTTGACTGTATAGAAATTAGTTGTTGTTTTGGTTATCATAATACCTGACAAATGATAAAAAGCATAAAAATTGCCTTTCAGTGATTACTTTATATTAGAGCTTTCAAACAATACCGTGTTTGTGCTCATCTGTTCACCTCTCGCAGAGATTGTCAAGTTAGTTTTCCCTTTCAATTTGTGTCAAGATTTTGCTGAAAGTCATTTACTTATAGAAGGCCTGTTTTCATTACTAAACTAGTCATATATATGCTGGGAGAATGTATGAAAGTTATCTTTATCCTAGTCTCAGTTGCAATTGTCCGGTTGTAGTGATTTTTGCATGGAATACAAACATTGTGATCACAGTCATGAGGGAGTTCCTGTTGATCAGAAAAGTAGATCATCTAAAAATGTTAGAATACAATCAAAGGAGGACAAGAAAATTGCAAACCAGAAGGAATAGTGGGAATAAGTTAATTTGTTTTTCTCATTGTAATCACTTTCATTGTCATAGATTACTTAATGTCAGACAAAGTCAGATATGATTGATCGGACCTCAACCAATACAAGTCAAAAGAAATAGTTGAAGAACATTTATTGTTGTTTCTACTAAGTTTGAGGTGTCCTAGCATGAGCGATGCAATACCATGTTAAATTGCAGAATTCTAGAGCAATGATTTGTGGTAAACAAAAGATGTATTTGAAGTGCTATTTTTGGATACTTCTTTTTTCAAAATCTAATAAAAAGCCTATGACCATTTTGTAAAATTATTATGTTTGTCATACAGCATAAACGTTTTTGTTTTAGTCTCCTGCAAGACTGTCAAGTAGTTGGACATAGCCTATTCAAAAAGCTCTTATTATAAACATTCCTTGATTAATTATGTGGTTCATTACATGCAAGTTATAATTTTAAACAACAATCAAGTATTCTGTAGCTTGGCTTCATTCAAGACAAAAAACAATGACAGCTAATTCTAGGTCCACTTAACATTTGTGCTTTCTACTGAATCTCCTAATAAATATTCATATCAAACTGAAATTGTAATTCTTAACCTGATCAATAATGCACATAAAATTTTAGTGACTACATCTGGCTTTTGAAATAATGTTAAATTTGAAAATACAAAAATTTAGCCACAAGTACCTCAAGGGTGAATGAAAGCACAATGTCTAGTTTTGATAGCATAGCTTCAGCATCTTCTGTCAATCCTTCTTTTGAGAGTGATGCCTGGTTCCTATTGTATTTGTAATAGCATCATTAATACTTAATACTGAAACAAGTCATTTAACAATCTTCAAAAAAGTAATTACAGTTCATGCTTGTTATACAATTAAAATGCACTTACATGCAAACATAAATTTCCAGATTTTTTGCCAAATTAAAATAAAACTAATTATTTATATAATCACATAATCCCTGTAATTTCAACTAACATGAAAAACATGCAGGTGCTGCATTTCTGGAATGGGAAGAGTGAAAAAAGTGCAAAAAACTAAAACCTCTCATCAGTAACTGACAAACACATAATCCACTCTGTTCTCTTTATTATTGTCTTTGAATCATGATAAATGTTCATTAATATGAATTAAAAAAATACTTCGTGAAAGCTACTGTACAACATAATAAGTTAACATTACATATTATGCATGTGTTACACTGTATTGAAAAGGTAATATTATCTTTTTTATAAATTACAAGCTGATGTCCAGATTTTTGTTTCTTGATTTTACATGGATGACAAATATTATACTCAGGGGTTTTCTTTCCACAGATGAGAGAGAATATTCCTCACCTGAATTTCTCTTTCACATTTGATGCACACTTGTAAAATAGAACAAGGCCATACTGATAGACATATTCGGCACATGAATGTTCTACGGCCTATCAATCATCAGGTACCCTCCCACTCCCCCATCCAAAAAAATGACTTTTTTTATTTTTTTTTATAAGAGCACTTCATAAGAGGTTTTAAAAATTTGTGTTACTTTTAGTGTGATCATTTTGAAGACCTCTAATGTCAATTAGTTATGACAGCCATATAAGCACTTAAACTATACATAGATTGCTATGGCATTTTACATACTACAGAATGCCCTATATACAAAAACATACACTGGATTTCAATGTGTGACAGTTTTAGAAATTATCAAAACACCCGAGAGTATTTTATATTAATTATAAAAAAAATAATGATGGTTGCAATTATAAAAATTTCCTTTTTATTTTCTACAATATATAATAGTTGATTGATTGTCTTGTCTAACTTTTTTGTTTAGACAATATTGTGCACTTATGAAAAAAAAAGAATAGGAAAGAAAGCAGGAAAGATATATGCAGAAATAAAGGCAAACTAAAAGGTCCATACATGAAATTAAAAGCAAAAAGAAGGGAGTCATAAATCACATTCCATAATGGGGCTTGCAGGTATAAAGAAATGTTTCGCAAGCTACATCTTGACCACAGTTTGAGCGTTGAAGTCGAAAAGCTAAAAATGAGGAAAAAATAAGTACAAAAGCAATAATTAATAAAATCATTAAAGAACACTTCATACAGAAAAAAAAAGATATTATTATGACTTTCCACTATATGTGTGTGTCAATATATATATATATATATATATAAACACACACAGATTTTTTTTATTTTAAAATGCATATACACATAATACACACTTCTAAATTAAAAAATAATCACTTTGTAATAGAACTTCAGTGTACCACTTTGTCGTAGGAAGCAGTTTTTGAGTGGTCAAGCCATTTCCATATTGTTATTTCTAGGAGCGTCTGGGGGCACCCCAGAAAATTTTTGAAAATTTAATGCTATGAGATTGAATTTGAGCCATTTTAACTACAAATACTGCATATACACACAATGTAATGCATTGAATTAAAAGAAGCAAGTTTTAATACACAAACTGTAGCTATACATGCCATGAAAAAGTGGTCAGTCCATGGCCTGACAGGCCTTACTGCTTCTTACGGCCCTGTACCAGAGTTAACTACACAGCTTTAATAGGACAGTGTATTCTAATGCATTACAGAAACAATTTGAATATGAATAATGAAAAAAAACCAAATTAATATTATGATTAAACATAAACGTTTTAAATGAAATAAAATCATTCTTTCAAAACTAAAATAAAACTAAAAAGTGAGAAAGAAAAATAGAAGGAACAAGAACATAAAATTAGCAAATCTCTTCAATCCAAACCATCAAATAAGCGAAAAGTATATGAATTTTCAGTTTCTGCTCTTATTTTTAGATGTACTGCTGTTTCTAATCTCGTCACTAACAGGTTTGAACATAATATTCTTGTTTAATCACATTAGATTCCACACCTTCAATTCAAATTAAGGTGGTCTAATAGCTATTTAGTGTTGTTAAAGTATGCTTTTTTGTATATCTGTAGAGATTTCAGGACAAAATATTTAAGATGCTTAAAAATGCCAACATAATCACACACACACACACACACACAAATAAAAAACAGTAGGACGGCCTATTGTGATGTTCTGCTTACATGCTAGAGTGGAACATTAAATTTTTTTTCAATGTCCTTCCATTTTGTGATTATAAACTACCATTTACATTATATTAACAAAAACTTTCATTTGACTTCTATGTTACCAGGTGCTGAGAACATATAAATAGACCATTATTATGCCTGTCATACCCCAGCTTAGTAGAGTATCTTCATAAAGTTAATTATTTAAAAAATTGTATTTTTTTTACATTTCCATTGAAAACATATCAGCAATATTTTGTGTTAATTAACAGTTAAATACAGATGGTATTTCTCATTTGTATTAACACCTAAGACACTCTATCTGGAATGTTGCTTACAAGAAACATGGACAATAATGTTAACACTATAGAAACTGCAGCATATGGTAGACAGAGATATTATATACACACTATCTATTTTTTACAGGTTTACTTTAAATGGATTTATGTTAAGCTTACCATTCCAAAATTAACTTGTCTGAAGAAGAAAACACAAAATTAATATTTTTGAACTTGTTGGTGAAAATATAGAATTAATCTCACAAGTTATGAGTTTTGTTTCTTATATTATAGAGGTGCCATATTGATGCTACTGAAGCTTCTAGGTATGTAATACACTGACAAATGTTAACAAAACTAAGAGAAAAGGATTATAACCTGAAATCATAAGAATATTTTAAAACCTGGAGTATTAATTCTGTAACACTTACATAACCCTTATTATACTTGTAAAATAATGTTCAGCATTAATTATTCACATTAACTACTTACTGTCTGAGTATCATTTACGAAAAAAAGGTAGAAAATGAATTAATAAAATGAACATGTATTTATCATGCAACCTATGACCATGAATAAAAGTTAAATAGTCTAAATATCTGCATTTCATACAAATTCCTGTATTTTCCTACTACACATTTCAGATTTGATCTATTATATATATTACTTTAATTAATAATTTTATTTGAATTTAATATATTTATAATACCCGCACAAAAAGAAAGCAACAAAACTCTGCACCACCACCACCATCAAATGAGAAAAACTAGGATACTATACTATTTCAAATCTACCTGCCTTAGAACAGAAGATCTGCGGCGGCTATCCAGTCAGCATGAAAGAACAAGAGGGTGTTATTAAGAACAGTTTAAAAATGTTATAGAAACAGAGAATAATAATTTCATAAAAAAAACAAAAAAAAACAATAACAGTACAGCATGTTATCAAAAACAAGGAGGATATATCATAAAAGCAAAGAATAATCGTTACATGAAAAGTACCATGTAACAGAATGACATGTTATTAGGGATAGTTAAGTTACATTATAGAAGAGTAATACCAGGGATCAACAAATACACTTGCTCACTCACCACCGACTTTAGCATACCATTCTATATTCGTAAAAACCCTTCTGCCTGTTTTGTCTCACAAGCAATGCACAGGAAGCCTAAAAGTCTGTGTATGTTAATGAAAATACTAAAGGTGAAATAGTGTACTGGTCTTATGATTAAAGGGAACTCGAGATGAATGTAACACACCTTAATCCTGTCAACAATTTTTCACATCAAGATAGGCAATAGTTTTATGTAAAGAAATAAACCCAAGTTGCTTAATACTTAAAAACTGAATTATGTACCTAAAATATAAAGTTAAAATTAAATTTACTACTTGTAATATTTTATGAAGTTAAATATTTAAAAACAATTTTAAGAATTTTTTTCGTACTTTCCTGACCTAGATTATGTAAGCAGCGAAAATGGCTTACCACAGTCATTTCTTATGTGGTTCTGGTTGCAATTCAGCTCATATCAGTTTGCATTAATTTTTATTGGAATACCAGAAATTTATTATTTGATAAAATAATTTCATTTTGCAATTTCACTGGTGGAGGAAGATTCATGCAAAAAATAAAAGGTATTAAATTTAATTTATTATATTACCAAGTAAGCCTACCTAATGATTTTTTTTTAATATTTTATTTGCTGTGTCAATGTGTTTCAAATTATCCTGGCTACTAACTTTTTTTGTTTGTAAGATTCTCATGTATTTGCAAACACCCGAGTTAATCACTATAAATAAAAGTACCATGTAACAGGAGTACATGTTATTATTAACATGTAAATTAAATTATACACATATGGATTAATCATTAGAAAAGAAAGTATCATGTTATCACAGAGAAGTTATATACTAGAAGAATAAGTTAATTATTATAGAAAAAAGTAAAAAAGTAAAAGTATCATGTAACAGGAGTACATGTTATTATTAACATGTAAATTAAATTATAGACATATGGATTAATCATTAGAAAAGAAAGTATCATGTTATCATAGAGAAGTTATATACTAGAAGAATAAGTTAATTATTATAGTACATTATAACTAAAGCACATGTTATTAACAACTGGTGGATTAACGTATATTACAAAAGTGCAGATTTATTGTTGCAATGTGACTAAACTTATGAAAACATGCAGAACATATTATAGAAGCAGTTTACTCATTAACTGTAAAACAGATGAAAAAAAAAATGCAAACCTGGTACAGAGTATAAGGGCACATCAGTTTAACTTATTAAATTCACAATGAAATTAACTTATTATTCACCACATAGAGAAAATGCACCATAAATATATATA